TTACGTGGACACCACGTTGTTTTGGTCACGGGAGCTTCACGGGGATCTGCTCTATGCCGTGCAAAGTCTCTCCTACTCTCCTCCTTAATTTTCTTGACTACTCTCAGAACATACTGTTCCAAAATTAACCTGAAGATAATTTTATCCAATAGGAGAAAACTAATTTCTTAGGATTCTTACTCAATTTGGGTTCACAAATTTAAAAAAAAATTTTTTTTAAGGTTTTATTTATTTGACACAGAAAGAGCTAGACACAGAGAGAGCAAGCACAAGTAGGGGGACTGGCAGGCAGGGGAGAAGCAAACTCCCCGCAGAGCAGGGAGCCCGACGTGGGGCTCGATCCCAGGACCCTGGGATCATGACCTGAGCCGAAGGCAGACGCTTAACCAACTGAGCCACCCAGCCGCCCCGGGGTTCACGAATTTTAAAGGTGCAGAAAGTGAGTTTCGGAGAGGTGTCTGGCTGGCACACCTGGTCATGATGGTGGCCCCAGGTCTACGGGCATCAGTGCATGGGCTCACTCCCACCCTGTCTGAAACGTACTTACCCCAGGGAGTTAGAAGCCCCCAGTGGTGGAGCCGTGTTTTTGTGATTTACGTTGACAACAGTTACTCGTCCCTGCCCACCGCTGGAGGAGGTGTACATTGGAACAGGGTCCCCAGAGAGCAGTGTAAGTGCCCCCAGTTCCCCTGCCAGAACGAGCCGCGGATGGGAGCCAGTTTAGTGCCCAGCAGGTGACCGGTCAAGCCCCCTGAGGGCCACGGCTCCCGGTCTTGAGGGGGCAGCAGGTGTGTCCAGGACCAGGCAGGGGCGTGGGCATGCAAGCGGACACACTGCACACGGGGGGGGGGGGCCCTAGCCCTGCTTACAGCGTGGCACCCCGTGTGGAGAGGGGAACATTTCCGGGAGGAGGGGAGACCCTGGAAGAGGTGCGGCTTCGCAGGGGATGGCGGCAGGCGAGCGGAAGATGGTGGGAGACACCACCTTCCACTCAGTACCCTTCCCACCACGGCCCACTTAAAACCTACGTGTATCAGCTACCACGTTAACGGAAACAGTTCCTAATAGAAGAAGAAATTAGGGTCAGATGGAGTAATGACCACTAGAGCCGGCGGGCCACAGCTAGAGTGACCAGTGCTCTGGGTCAAGGGGGCCCCAAAAACCAGCCGCCGGGGGCCCCTGTGGGGTCAGCACTCAGTGGGAGGAGGTCCAGGCCTATTTCCCACTCTCTGCAGCAGGAGTGCAAAGCGTGGTGTCCCCCACCCTGGGGTCGTGGTTGGCTGAGCCCCTCACTGCTGCCGAATGGGGGGGGGGTCCATATCACACTCCCTCCCACAAAGAGGAGTGAGCAGAGTGAGGCCTGGGACATCCCTCCACGTCCCGTCCCAGCCCAGCCACCCAGGCTTCACGCAGAGGGGTTCCACAGCAGCCCTGCTGGGGTGCGGGCCAGGGCAGACCCACGGAGGGAAGGGGAGTGCAGCTGTGAGCTCCGAGGAGAGACCCTGGGCAATGATACCCCCTCCCAGAGCACTGGAGAAGTTGGGGGAAGCCATTCTTGCTGTTCTCACTAAATGAACTGAGCCTCAGATTCAGCATCTACTTGTGATAACTGCAGTCTTTGTTTAAATGTTCCTGAGAACGTTCATTTTTAGCATGGGTAATTTTGAATCACTTTCAAATCAACCTTTCCTGGCAATGAGTAGATATGATTTGCTGCCACGAAGACACCCACAGACTGTCCAAATCTGGTGTCACCTACATGGAACGCTGACAGATTTGCATCATAAATGCTCTGTGACTGGTTTTTTTTAGCTTACTGGACTGAGCTGCATCCCTTCCTCCCTGTCCCGCCAACATCCCAAACCCAACTTCCTGCCCACACCCACCACCCAGCAGCCCCTTCCATGTCGCAGAGCCCACAGCGTGGACCTCGTTCTCCGTGAGCAAAGGACCCAGAGGATCATCTGGAGGCTCGGCACCAGCCCCAGCTTTAGGATCTGGAGAGCAGAGCCAAAGCTGGGCTCTGTCCCCAGGTGACCTTGGACAAGCCCCCGGCGCTCAGCCGCGACGGGAGGATGCCGGTCCTGCCTGCACCAGCGCTCATAGGCGGTCTGCTCCCCCACGTCCATGAGAGCCTCTCTGCCCCCGACGTTTGGGCCTGAAGCTCCGGCTTTGAGCCCCAGCACCTCTCCCAAGAGCCCCCCGGCCCCTTGCTGCTGTGTGTCCCTGCTCCTTCCTCCCAGGCCCATGAGGCTGTGCCCTCCACCCTGAGGTCGCTCACCCGCACCTGCTCCTTGGGGAGGCCCTGGGGGCCGCGCCCTTCCTTGCCCTGCCCCCGTGGCTTCCACGCGCCCCCGCTGCCACAGGGCAGAGCACGCTCTCAAGTGCGGAGCGCCTTTTCCTCGCTCAGGGTCCCACGCACTGTCGTGTGTCAGCTGCTTTGCTCCCAAGGCCCAGAGCAGTGCTCTAAAGGCTCCGGGTCATCACCTCGAATCCGATGCTTCGTTGCTGGGTCAACGACTGACCCCAGCCCGTCCCCCTCTCTGGGCCTTGCTGTCTCGGCCACCGAACCCTCGGCCTGTCCCCACCCCACCGGCACATACGTTCTGCAGGTCACAGCCTCTCCCGCTGGAACAGCTAAGGCGGGTGGCGGACTCGCACGCGGCGCCCAGAGGGACCCGACGGAGGCATGTGGGCTGAGGCCCTGGTGCGACAGGCAGAGATGGAGGCGTGAGCCTCCTGGCGGCGGTGTCCCCCACCCCCGGCCTGACCCCCGTGGCAGATGTCTGTGCAGAGCAGGGACAAGAGGGGATATGGGGAGAGACCTGAAAGGGGTGGGATTTCGGAGGGCGCCCCATGCAGCCCAGGCCGCCTCGGGGCCCTCTGGGACCTTCTAGTTCATGCCACCTCACTGTCCCCACACCGCTGGCACTGGCCCACCACGCTGACCTCCCTGCAGCTAACGGTGCAAAGCCAGAGTGCACGCCCCGACTCGGGCAGCACCGGGCAGAAGAGTAGGGGGGCAGGAGAGAAAGGGGTGGCAGGGGGCCCGGGGGGCGGGAACCAGACAGGAAGGGGTGCCCATCACCTGAGGGGCGGCTGCTGCCCATGTGTCACTCCCGCTGGGACCGGCTGGGGGTCACGGCTGCCTGAACACAGATGTACACCGCAGGGCACCAAGCAAGCCGATGGCTCGTGCCCCTCAAGCCCGAGACGGCACCCCGCGTCCAAAGCTCTGAATGCTCTTGCTTGAAAGACTGCTGACCTGTAGGTGCCCAGTTCCGTTCCACGTGTGGCCAGGACTCCCCTTGGCCACTCCGAGTGACGGGCCCTGGGACGTCGGCACAGCCCCATCCCCTAGAGCTTCATCACCAGCAGAGCAAAGGGGACCAGCCCAGCTCCAGCCGGTGCACAGTGCTGGTGTGTCTGCACGGGGAGTGCAAGGGGCGGGTGGTGCTGCTCCCCATCCTCCTGGGGTAGCCTGGAACTCCCCTCTGGAGTCTATATAAGCAATTCACAGTCCAGACGCGACACCCATGGCACAGGCTGCAAATGAAGCAGCCTCCTCTGCTCACTGCCTCCACCCGGGAGCCTTCCGTGCCCGCGGCCTCCACCTGGGACACCGCAAGCCCCGTCCGGCCTCCGGCATCTGCACCTCCTGTTCCTTGGCCTGGAACATTCTCCTCTGCTGCTCCCCCGACCACACCACCCATCTATGTGCTAATCTGTTGCCTGTCTTTCCCACTGGAGTATAAACTCCTCAAAAGCAAAACGTCATTGCTTTTCTTGTTTACAGCTGAACCTCCGGGGTAGGTGCCGATAAGTACTTGTGCAATGGCAGTGGATGAGAAATCGATGCTTAGGTGATGACCCTGGGACCACCAGGAGTCATGCCACTCCAGACAAGACTCCACAGTCCTGCACGTGGCAGGTGCTGTGGTGCCCTGGACCATGGAACCCAGGGCAGGGGCTCTGTTCGGAAATAGACGAGCCCCATGGAGGAGATGCGCCAAGGGAGGGACACGGTGGAGCGCATCTGGCCGGCAGAGGGCTCATGACCTCCAGACTCCAGTTCACTTCCAGGCACGGCACGTGGGAGCTCAGGGCACCTGCCCCCATGCTGGGGGGAGGGGTGCGCAGCGCTGCAGAAGGGGGGAGCCTCTGGTTCCCTGTTCTGTGCAGCCCAGCATCACCAAACCCATGGACTCTTCAAGAGGACCCAAAAACTCAGAGTTATAAATAAGATTTTTCATTTTCTAAAACACAGTTTGGGATGAAACAAAATGTGTCTATCCAGGTGCTGGGCTTTCCAGGAGCCTTGGGAGATCACTGGACCGACCCCTGTCTCCTCCCCAGCCTCCTGCCCTATGCACAGAAATTCAAGTTCCCCTGGGGTCTAGAAGCCAATTAAGTCATTCACATGCAGGGGTCGGGGACTAATAATAGTTGAGAAGATCCCACTCCAGGGCAACTACATTTTTAAAGAGTACTTTTTTTTTTCTCTTCCAAGCCATGCTTGCTTAAAACCGATGAAATGAACGTCTAGCTCTTAGGCCAACCACGCAGCCTGACAGATTAAATACCCCGACGCAGAGAAACCCAACCAGGGCCCCTCCTCCACCCTTAACCCTGGGCTCCAGGGAAGGTTGTGGCCCCATAAGAGAGCAGGACAGATGTCCCCCTGCTGCGCTGGACTCTCCCACCGCGCAGAGGCTCCACGGCCCAGGACCCAAGGCAGAGGATGCTGGCACATCTGCCTTCTGCGTGTGGACCCTCGGGAAGGACCTAGGGTTTGCACAGCGCTGCCTCAGGAAACTTGAGGCAAAGGTTTTTGTTTTGGTTTGGTTTGGGCTTTTTTGTTAAAAAATGTAGAGCTTCACAAAGGTCCCCACTCACAGGGTCTCCCCGATGAGTGGGGGCCGCCAGTGTGCCCCCGCCTGCAGCCTGAGGTCAGAAGGGCCCGTTGTCGGGGCTCGGGGACCCTGGCGCCTGGCTCTTACCTCCATCGGCACCACCTGCATCAGGATGGCGAAGTTGGTGAGGTGGGTGCAGCGGCAGACGGAGTAGCTGAGGTTCCCCTCGGTGAGCACACAGCCCTGGTTGGACCAGATCCCTTCTCCGGAGCTGGGGACACAGGAAAGAGGAGCAGCGGGCTGAGAGAGCAGACGTGCTGGCGCCGGCTGGGCCACACGGAGACCAGGGGAGGACCGCGGTGGACCCGCCCTGGCCCACGCACTCGGGGGCCCCCTGGACCCACAGCCCCTGAAAATGAGACGTGCTCATCCCACAACCCGCCAGCCCCACTTGCCGAGAACTCTGAGCCGTGTGCCCAGGGCACACGCCACGGAACATGAAAGCAGCCCAGCGCCCACCGTGCGGCACACGGACGGGATAAGACGTGGTACAGCAGTCGCAGATGTGTATCCACGTGGGTGAAACCCGAGCCCTCGCGCATCATGTTCGGTGCACACATGTGAAGCAGAGCGAGATGCCACGTGCTCCATGGACATGGCCATAAGTGACACGCATGGTACTGAGGACACCCCGACTGGCCACCTCCAGCGAGAGAGGGTGGGACCGAACAAAGGGATCTTTGCTTTTTTACAACGTTTTACTTTTTTACAGAATTGATTCAGGACTTGTGTGACTTTTTAAAGTCTCAACCCAGACCAAAACGGCTGGAAGCAAACATGCTCAAGTGCTAACTGTGGTTTCTTCTTATGGTAAGGATATCAGTGATCATCATTTTCTTCGGGCTCTCTCTCTGTATTCTCAAATTCCCAAGAAGAATTTCCATGGTTCTTTCCAGAAATGACCCCTTTGAGTTATCGGCAAAGACAGACATCTGCTTCAGCCGAAGGCAGGGCCCTTATAAAGGTGAACAAATTCAAAGGTGGTGGTTTCTCTCTGTGGACGCAGCTGATGAGGAACGTGGCCGTCCCGGAGGGGTGCCAGCACCCCGTGGGGGAGCACGAACTGGCAGCACTCGTTGCCAACCCCGAGGCGGGACTGTCCCCGTGAGGACGTGGTGTGACTGCTCTCTGCTTGAGGCTTGACGGCCGTGGAAGCCGAGGGTGGGTGGGAAAGCATCACTGGGGGCATCTCCAGGGTGAGCTCTGAGCCTGATGGCCGAGACGCAGGGACAGCGGCTTCTGAGGCCGTGTCCATGATGCTCGGTCCGCCCTCGGCAGGGAGGGGGGGCGCCTAGCAGGGACCAGGGAGCACAGCCAGGGTGACTCTAACCTATCAGTCCAGGGGCCCTAAACCCCAGTAATAACGTCAAATAAAGGGACTAACGGTGGGGCCTGTCCTTTCCCCGCATGCCCTCCTCTTCATCTGATGTCCCATGGCCTTGAGGACAGTCAGCCATGCTGGCTGCTGGGCTCTATGTGGCTCCTCTGTCCGTCTCCCCAACGTGCAGATGCCATACTTCCTTCTGTTAGAGGCCGACCTGAACCCAGCGGGCACTGGGCCACGTGAGCACAGTCGCGGGGATGAACAATGCACCTCTCTGTACACAGAAAGCGACTGGGAACTAAAAACCAGGGAAGTTACATCTTCCCAGATGGAACCACAAAGGTGTGATGACACGTGCATTCGCCAGGGCAGCCGGGCACAACGTGGCACAGCCTCCCATGGGGTGAAGACCCGCACACAGGAGAGAGCCTGTGCGCAAAGGATCTGCCACGGGAGCCCGGCCAAGCAAAACCGAAGAACAGCAAGACGCGCATGACCCTGTGACCTAGAAGTCTGCATCCAAGCAGAAGATGCCCAGTCGCACACGTGACTAAAATGTGGGGTAAACGTGATAAAATCCTGCACAACAGCTGAGACGGATGTGGCCCAAGCACAGCACCAAGTACGGTGGAATGGGACAAGAAACACGGATCTGAACAAGACCACGTATTTTCTTTGAATGTAAATATAACTCACACAGAAATTATTGAGAAAACACCTCAACGTCTCCGTGCTGTGGCCACCATGAGGGCACAGGGAGGGGTCAGGAAAGTAAGAGCATCCAGGGGACAATTGCTTGTACCTTCTAGAAGAATAATACACTGATATTCCTTGTACTGCTTCCTGAAGTCTAAAGTGACCCATAATTCTCAGCACAGTGAGAACATCTTTGAAAAAAATAAAAAGGAACACTTTCTGAGACAAACAGAAACTGGCGCCGGACCTGCGCTAAAGTTCAAGGTATATGATGCTGGACAGAAACTTTGATCTGCAGGCAGAGTAGCTAGAAATGGATGAGAGTGAAGGAAAATGTGCGACTGTTGTCTTATTTTCAGTGGCAACTGACTGTCTGAAGCAAAACTTCCAGCAACACACGGTGCGCTTACGGCGTCATCATGGTCCAATGAGCGACCAGGGTAGCGCAGGGCGCGACACTGCTGTGATGTTGAAGACCGCAGGCAGAGTGGTGTTCTGTCGCTCGAGGTGGACAGAGAGGAACCAGAGACACACACACACTGGGGGCCCTGGGACAGCCACTACAGAAAATCACACAGGAGCTCAGAGGTCAATCATGGCGATAAAGTGGCATTGTAACAAACATCCCAAATCCAAGTGACGTAAGAGGAGAGAACACAGGAGACAAGGAAGAGATGGGAAAATCTGAAAACAGGCAGCAAGACGGCAGGTTTCCATCCAAACACATCCATAACCACATTCAATGTCAATTGTCAAAACCCATGGATCAAAACCAGAAATGCTCCAAGGGGATAAAAAAGCAAGATGCCGCCATATGCAACCTAAAAGAGACTTACTTTAAATATAAAGATGATGAATAAAGAGGGTGAAATGTAAGGTGGGGAAAGACACAGCACCCAAGCACGGAGCAAGAGCCAGAACAAGTGTGTCAAAAGTAGGCCACGTGGACTTTAGAACAACCAACATTCCCATCAGAAGGGGGACACGGAGCGGTGAGGGGTCAGTTTCCAAAAAGACAGAACAATCCTAACGGGAAAAGCACGTAACAACAGAGCTTCAAAATACACCGAAACCCCAGAGACGGACAGATCCCTCACGACACGGAAACATCACCGTCCTCTCTCATGAACCAATGGGACAAGTGGGCCAAAAAGCCATAAAGTCATAGAAAGCCACATGAGCACCATCAACGCAACCTCACTGACATTTCTAAGACAGCTGCCAAGAGCAGACTTTTTTTAAGAAAAGATAGAGCATTCTCCAAGACTGAACACATGCTGGGTCATAAAACAAGTTCTTAGAAATTTAAAAGGACTGAAATTAAAATTAAAAAAAAGAATGTTTTCATTCATGTTTTTTCATCAACAAAAATCAATCAGAAATCAGGAGCGGAGAGATCTCTGGAAAACCCCCCAAAAGTCGGACTAAACAACATGCTTCAAAGCATCGCGTGGCTTGAAGAGGAAGTCACGAGAAAGGACAGAGAATAGGTTTAATTTGATGAAAATGGGAGCCACATGCGGACACCGTGGGACATAGCCAAATCAGTGCTCGCAGGCAAACACACAGCCCGAAACGCTTGCATCAGAAAACCATCAAGGCCTCAACGACCAAAGCCCACACTCAGCAAACGAAGCACATGGCAAGCAGACGGGAGTAACCGAGGGACAAACGCAAGAGACTGAATCAAAGCAGCTGAGCACAGAAATGCGGTGGAGAGGAACCAACGAATCCAGAAGGCATTTCTTTGAGAAAGATCAACAAGGCTGACAAACCTCTCGTACGAAGACCAAGAAGGGAGAGAGGAACGCAGACACCAAACGTGGAAGGGGGACACCGGCACAGGCCCTCCGATAGGAGTGCGGGCGCGAGGGCCACCACCAACTCCGTGCTCGCACTTTAAACACATTTCGGACAAATTCTCCACAGAACCGTCCAAACTCACAAAGAAGTAGATGGCCTGAGTAGTCCTGTGTCAGCCGGGGACATTCAATGGTGGCCCTGGTGGGTGTGGGGGCAGAGGACGGGGCGGGGGGAGCGGAATGTTCTTTGACATCATCTGTGATGTTTTTGTTTTCTTCTTGAAAATATAAACATGCTAATAATTATAAATTTGGGGCAATGGATACCTGCCCTTGTTGGAATATTCTTTGTACTTTACTCTGTTCTTAAAATGTCTTCAAAAATAAGAACCAACAGGCCATTTCGTTACTACCAAACTCCATCTCCCCTATTCCATCCATAAAATATTTCCCTGTGAGGAGCGTCCCAAATGAGGATGACAATCTCTAGGTGGACGTGTCTCTGCATTTTCATAATTTGCAAAGAAACAAGCAACAGGCTGCAGCCGGCTGAGCCCAGCCAAGGCAAAACCACTGCAATTAGAGCGTCGGTCATGCGTTCTGCGGGTGGCGTGATGTGTGCCCTCAAGGGCACAGCCAGAGGAAGGCGCTCTGGGGACAGAAAGCAGCAAGATTTGCTGGGTGCTATGCGGGATGGGCTGCGTTTCCTGCTGTGTGGGGAGCAGAGATGGGGATGAAGCGCACAGCCATACCAGCACCTTGAGTCTCCCGGTCACTGAGTGCAGGGAAGCAGGGGGCCCTCTCTGACCCACAGAGCCCCTGAGAGGACCCCTGACCCCAGCCCTGTGTCCCCAGCCCCGCCCACCCCTGATTTTCTCTCACGCTCACCTGTGGCAGCTCCATGGCCCCGGGCGGGCGGGGGAGGGGGGCCTGTTTCAATCCCTGCTCTGACCGTGGGGGCCATTCGTGGGGGGCCACGCCCAGAGGAGCATCATGAGCACTCCACCAGAAGGAGGCCCCCAGACAGTGAGTGGGGCGCCCGTGGAGATCAGCAGGGATGGGGGTTCAGCAGGGCGGGGGGCGGTGGACTCCAAGGCGCCCACGGAGTGCTGAGAGGGACGCCCTGGTCTGTGCCTGGGCTCCCAGAGCTTCAGGCGGGGCTGATGTCAGCACACCACAGTGTGGCCATCAGCCATCGGGGCCACGAAATCCTGAGAGGCCCACACGCCCGCCAGGATAGAGCCGCTCGCCCAGCCCTTCCCGGCCACCTCCCCAGCGCGGCACCGGCCCCCAGCACAGCCAGGGCCCCGGTGGTGCCTCGGTGGACCAGGTGAATGTTTTGAAGTGGCCCCGGGCTTTAAGGGCTGAGTCCTGCTAGGTGCTAATGTGGCCTCCGAGAAAACCTGGCCTGCACCTCCTCAGGCTCTTGCCCGGGTCCCAGGCCATTGCCAGCATTTACGGGCAATGCAACCCTGTTGCCTCCAGAAGGGTGGCCGGATCCTAACTGGACCAGTGTGGGGTGGGGCCTGCCCCTGGGCACCGTGCGCCCACCGCACCTGCTCCCCTCCCCATCTGTCCCCACCCCGGGCCCCCCGCAAGCATACCTGAAGTCCAGGAAGGCACAGTACAGGAACACCAGGTTGCTGTTGTTGGTGGCCTCGCTGCGCTGCCTGTGGGACTGAAACGAAAGGGCGGATATGCTTCGTGAGGCCACTGGGGAAGCCAGGCTCCTGACACCGAGCTCGACGCCCCGCCCCCAGCCCCCGGGGACCTCGGGGGAGTGTCGCTAGAGGCCACTGACTCCGTCTCAACCCTGCCGTGGTCACAGAGGGCCACGGCACCCGGCCCACCGCACCCCCCCCTCCTTTGCCCACATCAGCCCAGAAACCAAGGCCCTTGCCTCAGGGCCTTTGCTCTTGCTGTGCCCTCCCTTGAGGGTGCCCCCCACATTCACTGTGGGTCTGTGCTACATGTTACTCCCGGAGGGACCTTCCTGCCCATTCAAATGGCACCAGCCCATGCAGCCCCACCCTTTCCTCTTGTTTATTTTCTTCCCAGCTTCGCTCACCACGCAGCAAGTTTCGTATTCACGTATTTGTTTGCTTGCTGTCTTCCCCCCCACCCCGGGAAGGACCCCCAGGGCCTGGCCAGGGAAAGCACACAGCAGGTGCCCACTACAGACTGGCTGAATGAGAGGACAAAGGAACAAACAAGCCACCAGATCAACCCGAGACCTTGTTCTCCCTGAAGAGAGAACACTCCAGCCCCTGGACTTCTCCGGGATGCCAGCCAGGGCGCTTGGCCACAGCTGCTCTGCCCAAAGCAAATTGCAGGGGGTCCGCCAGGAGCCATGGCAGGAAGCTCGGGAAGCCAGGCTGCTCCTGGACACACGCTGTCGCACAGACGACCAGTCACTAAGTCAGGACGTCTTCTGTGGCTGCCCGCCGCTCCTGCCATTGTCTCATCTGCCCACGAGACCCCGCCCCACCCCCATCTCGGGGCTGCGTGGGCCAGCGTGTGAGTCAGCCTTCTGCAGGGCAGGGGGGCAACAGGATGGCTCCGCCAGCACCCCAGCTCCAGACGTAGAAGCTCCTCTTTCCCAGCGCTGGCACGTGCCTGCAGCCCTGAGGGGCGCCCTCTGGACCCACCACAAACACCGTCCTCTGCTTCACGCTAGAAGCGTGGCTGACGGTCCCCGAGTGCACAACACAATGATATTAATGCCATTTATTCCTGATATCTTGGCAAAACACAGAGCACGTGGAAGTACTGGCTGTGTGAGTCACAGGGGAAGCACCACCCTACACACCAGTAGGCGTGATCCCCAATTTCCAAGAGCACCTGCAGGGACATCCACCACAGCACGGCCCACTGCGCAAGGCTGTAGGAGAACGTATGTCAGAAATCAACAGGCTGTCCTCTCTCTCAGCACATGCCACATCAGGGCAGAGGGACTGGCGCTCAGGGAGATGAGCTGAGCTGAACCTCAAACCCTAAGAGAAGCCGGAGGGGCCATGCCGCACAACCCCAGACTCAAGAGATCCGTGGGAGCCTCCATGAAACCTTACTCTGTTCCCAGACTCTTTCCGAGATGCCCAACCACGTCCCCGATGCCACCTGGGTCACCACAGAGGGTGGTTTTCCAAGTGCACCACCCAGGAGCCTGGCATGGCCCACCCCAGCACCCCATCACGGGCAGGAACCAGGCTGGGAGCCAGCGCCTGGGTTTTCACAAGCCCTTGAATTTGAGAGCCACTTGCCCCTCTAGTCCTCTCAATGTCCCAGCTGCTGTGAGCACCATGCTCAGACATGGAGAACCTCATCCTGCAGCCGCTTGGGGACAGAAAAGGTCATCAGCAGGGGCACCACAACACACGAACCCACAAAATCTAAAGTACAGATAAAGACCAGGTGCTGGCCCCCACCTGGAATCACCCAGGTGTCCTTGGCCCCGAGTGGCCCTGGGCCCAGCCCCCAGGACGGCATCAGGGGTCACTGTTCACAGCAGGTGCACTTGTGTGTCCCCGTGCCACGGAAAGGCAGGTGGACGCCAGCCTGGAGCCAGGCTCACGCGGGGCTGGGGTGCTGAGGCCCCGAGGAAGAAGTGATGTCCTCCCCCACTGCCCACAGTGTGGAGCCGGCTCCCCTCCCTTCTGGCAGAAGGGGTCTCTCCCAGTCCCCTCCCTCTGACTCCAGATCCATATTTGAGGGGATTTAAAAACCAGCCCTGACGGCAGCGAGCCCAGCACGTGTGTGGTCAGAAGGGTGGAGGAGCAGACCGCACTCCCCGGGGTCTGAAGCCAAGGTCACACCCCAGGCGGGAAACTCCTGCCCTGGCCCCCGGAGCCCCTCCCGGCGCGGGAACAGCAGACCGCCTCCTCATGTCTGGAAGTGCAGCCCAACTGGAACAGACGCCCTCGGCAAGTGTCCAGAAAGGAGGCCTAGAACATTCCCAGGAGCATGATTTGTGAACACATGGGGAGCAGCCCTGCCAGAAAGAGGAAGGTGAGTCATCGTGTCATGGCCTGATTTCCTGGGGAAATGTGGGAGGCGTAGACGCAAGTGTGGGGACTAGGAAATGAGGTGTGCTCACCGGGGTGTGGAGGTCCCATCATCGGAACTCCTCCTGTGCCCCGAAGCCGAGGCCCAGCGGTCGACAGAGAGAGGGCCTTCCCGCAGAGAGCTGGCCCGGCTTCGGCCTCCTGACTGCCCCAGACACGCCTCCCTTGGGTGTCACACGGGCCCGCAGAGCACCTTCTGCAGGGTCAGAGACTTCCTCAGACAACCCAACTGCTGGGGAGACGCCAATGGGACTCATCAAGTATTTATTTCCTACTGTCCATAATCAAGGTACAGAAAAGCTTCTGCTTCGCAGGAGAGGAGAAAACTCTATCAGATAACAACCTGTAAATGTTCCTGGCTTAGAAATCCATTTGCTTTTCAGCCAAGTACATAGTTTTTCCTACAAACGAGGCAGGTCGGGAGAATTTGCCTGTCCCTGCCCCAAGCAAACACACAGAAGCCTCCATGGTCCTCAATTCTGACCCTCAGTAGAGCCGTGGAAGGACTCAGAGGCCCCATGCCCAGCACAGGGGGCAGGTGCTCCAAGACGTTGGCCGGCCACCCCCGCCCCCAACCCAGCTCATCTCACCACAAGCCAGGGGCCAGGGCTCCAAATGGCTGAGATGTCCCACCTTGGAGGAAATCAAGAAAAATGGAAGTCATGTTGGGGGACTGATGAGGAACCCCTTCAATCGGCCTCAGAAGCCTGGTGTGTGTGGATGTGTCTTATCTTTGTGAGCAGGGCAGGTGGATGCAGCCCCTCCCCACGGACACTCACACAGAGAGGAGACAGCTGAGGAATCACCTCCAGAAAGAGGACGGAGGGCAAAAGGTCAGGGAGAGGGGTGAGGCCTGTGACCCAGTGGAGCAGGGGCTTGCCGCCCCCAGGCAGGGCCCTGGACAGGTGGGCAGCGTGGGGAAACCGAGGGCACGCCCACGTGCTGCTCTCACCGTTCACCCCAGGCTGCGTCGGGACCACAGGCGCCCTCCTTCAAGGTGTCAATCAGGTCATCCGAGGACACCCCCAAGGCCCTGACACAGGCCCTCCAGCCGCCTCCCCTGTCCAAATGCTGCCGGAACTCCCTCCTGCCCAGGCCCTTCCAGGCTCATGAGGCCCCTTTGAGCCGGACGTGGCTGGACTCTGGTCTGTCCTTTCCAGGGACACGTCCTGACCACGCCATGTAGACGCCCATGTGATGCCGGCATGAGCTCGTTTCTATCTTCAGGTGACAGCCCACCCCCTCCCCCGCACCTGCCTCTTCCGTGCACCTGCAGCTGAGCACGGCTGGAGGTCAGCACGCACCACGGCCACCCCGGGACCAGGGTCAGAGATGCCCGCCGGAACGTGGGGCTCGCACAACTCTGGAAACGAGCTTCCCCGACCTTCCACTGCTAGTGTGCGATTCTGGGACTCTCCAGAGGGAGCTGCATTCCCAACCGCGTCCACCCCACATCCTCTGTCCTGAGGACTTGGGACCCTCGGCTGGAGCTCCCCCGGTCCGCACGTGAGCCGGCGCCGCGGGGGTGGACACTTCTGGGACGTTCCACGGGGGCTGCCATCAGAACGGCCCACCTCTACCTGCAACCAAGAGCGTTTTCAAGTCCTCCCCCGGAGCCCAGGTGACCCCAGGTCCTGAAGTTCTCGATGGAAAAGGCGCCAGCAGGGCCGGCCGGGACCCCGCGTGCAGCGCAGAGCAAACCCCAGGAGCCGGAGGGAGGCGGGGCGTGGAGGTGAGGGCGGCTGCGAGCTCACTCTTGTCTACATTGGACTTGAGGGCGTTCCTAAAGGTCTCCATCCCCATTACACACGAACGAGCTGCAGAGATTCTCGTTTTTTACATTGAGCCACAGACGCTGTGCCTGTTTGGTGCTGTTCCCGGAGCCCGACGCTGCCGCACACATTCCCTTCCATTCCCGCAAACAGGGTTCGAGGCTCCTTCCCGGCCGGATTTCCAGTGTTTCCCTCACCCTGGCCCCCGCCCCATCCAGTTAACCACACGGACACCAGGGGTCCCCAGAAGCCCCCCAGGGCAGGGCACCCCCAGACCCCCGTCCCAGCCCTCACCGCCCTCTCCCTTCTCGTCCAAGAGAGGAGGCTGGAAAACAAATCAGGATTCGTCTGAATTCAGACAAATTCACACAAGTTGCAACAACGTCTTTCGTCTGCGACATTCAGGAGCCTCAGTTTCCTGAATCACTTCCTCCCATTAGAAAATATGCTCCTTAAAGAGCCAAGCGCCATTTATTTCTGTTTGGTGCTTCAGAAAATGCCTTCCATGCGCGTGGAAGCCCAAGATAACACAACGGCCCCAGCACATGGGGCTGCTTTATCTGAAAGAAGACGGGCTACAGAAACAGTCCTGACGGAGTCACCAGCCGGACGTACAGAGCGAGAACCCAGGAAGGACCCCACGTGGCGGCGGGAACGTGAGTGCGGAAGGGGCGGAGCAGCTCCGTGAAGGAGGCACGGTTGTCCCAGCACACAGTGCCGGGCCCAGCGGGCACCCGCGGGCAAGTGCAGAGACCCCCACGCACACCTCACCTAAACCTCACACCTCACACAAAATCGACTGAAGGTGGGTCCTTCGTTAAGTGTTAAACATGAAACTACAGGGC